ATGCATTCCTACTGGGTCTCTCTCCCTTCCTCTCTCCGTCCCCCAGAGCTGGCACTAGGGCAGGCTGTCCAAACCTTCCGAGCCCTGGCCTCCTTGTCCGTCAGCTGTAGGTCCTCCCCTCCTTCATCTGGAGCTCCAGGGGAGTGAGGAACGTGGACATGTGTCAGAAAGTGAACTGAATAGGAGAAAGTGAGAGACTACGGGGGTGGGTATGTCCTTCTGGCAAGGTCACTTTGTCCTAGTTTTCTATTAAATGTTTGACCCTTCTTCCTCAGGCTATGTTCTCCACGAACCGCGGGACTGTCGGTGGCTTCTTCCTGGCAGGACGGAGCATGGTGTGGTGGCCGGTAAGTGTTCTCTGAAATACTGTTCGCTCCGCTGTGCTCTTCCCCGCAGGAGGCCGTGCCCCTCCTGGCCTGGGTGGTGGTCATCTTTCCTCCTGCCTAGACCCCTGGTAATGGGCCTCCTGCTCACCGGGTTTCCCAGTCCCCCTTCCTCTCTTGTGGTAAGGAAAACAGCCTTCAACTAAATCATGCATGGAATCCCTTCCGGGGATAAATGGAGGAAAAGACCACCTAAAGTGGGCACGTGGAGAAGCAAAAAGAACACGCAGACCGAGGTGATCTTGAGTAAATCTGAGCTTCGATATGTGTATCTATAAAATGGGGCTGCTAATATTTACCTTCCAGGAGTGTTACGGGGAGATTTTTTATGGCATGGAGACTCAGTGAGAAGTAGCTTTTTTGCTGCCTTCTCGCTACTGAAAGTCCCATGGAAGAGAGATTCTATCTGTCCTTCCTCGGGAGCCTAAAGCGGTGCCTGATGCCCAAGAGAACCACAGTGACTGCTTGTGGAGCCCCTGCTGTTCTCAGTTACAGTTTTCATCTCTTGGTGGGTTTTGTATTTAGTGTATTTGAGATGTCTTTTCCCAGATAATTGTACATGAGCAGAACTATCCCAATCAGAAGATGTGTGCATGGGTGGAAGAGAAACTGGGAGGTCTCTTCCATCCTATCAACGAGGGCTCCGGCTGGTTTATCAGTTCAGCCCAATGACCATTTCATTCCAGAGTTCTCAACCAAACTAATCTGGTTGACCAAATTAAACCAAGTGTGCAATTCCCTGAGCTTAAGATACAAGCAAGATTGGCAGGCAGAAGGGGGGAGTAACGAAGCATGCATACAGTGAGAGGAAAGTGACTGCTGTGAGTTGATTGGAGAAAGACTAACAAGAAGGTAAAGACTGTCACCGCCACGTACCAGCACTGAGAGAGGTCACGGGGAAGTCATGCCACATCGTGCGATTGCCTGCTGATTGGGTGTTCGGGGATGGATTTTAGTAACTGGAATCTTCACAGTTGTTTGTTTTATTCCCAAAGTCATTTCTGCTTTATCCTAAAGGTGGTCAGGAATACTGGGCAGCTTCTGATTTCTGTGATGGGTCCCTCATGGTGGTCTCTCCTGACACATTCGATCTTCTCACGTTTTGGACTTTGACGTGTTCCTTGCAATTGTAGATGATCAGGTGTGTGCCTGTAGACTATGTGCTAATCCGAGCTAGACAAGGGCAATAAAACCTCCATGGATGCAGAAGCTTTCTCTCAAACTGCTTTGACTTTATAATGACCTTCAGAATGGCCTTTCTCTGGCCAACAGGCAGAGCCCGAGTCCTTGAAACTTATGTAGTTTCAGCCCTAGCTACCTTCTCTCCTCCTTGGGTTGTAGATTCTCTTGCTATTCCCAGGAAAACCACTTTAGGGGTATAGAGAGTATGTCCTATGGGAGGGAGGACTCTCCAGGAGTCCAGAAAGATCTGAGCAGTGCTTCCCTGGCTCTGCCCAGCACACAGACGTGTTCAATGGATCTGTGTTGATTGTTTGGATGTGTGAACAGCCCTGCTCCCTAGAGGACTAAGTCCAGTACCTCGGTGCAGTCTGAGCGCCCAGCAAGGTGCTCCCTGGAGCAGACATGCTTGTTGAAGGGACGGCGAGTTTCTAAGAGCCTGAAATGCCACCATCAGAGGTTGACTTGAACTGATGATGCTTTTCGGCCCCAAGGGTCACCTATGAAAACACAAGCACCTCTGCCAGGGCTAAGTCATCATCACCATGAGCATTTTCAGGGAGATTAGCAAGCATCTACTAAAGGGAGGCCATGGACATGGAGGGAGGGACAGGGAAAGAGGCGAGGGAAGACACAGTATTCCTGTTTCATGATGCAAGTCTGGGCTCCGGCTGAGCTGCACCTGCAATAAGCTGAAGATTCAGAGGCAGCATTCCACGGGAGCTGCGAGAGGGGCTGGCGGTCATTTCCGGGAAACGCCTGCCGTGCTTCCCCTCATAGACCTTCAGTGGTTCTGCACTGCCTATCAATAAGCCTACACTTTCTAGCCTGGCGTTTGAGGGTCTGCAGGCTGCTCCTGCTTCTCCCCACTCTCCCCACTGATTCACCTCGGCCCATTCGCCAGGCAGCACCACTCACCATTCCCACCCTCTCCGCACTGGTGGCTCTACCTCTGGGCCATCACTCATGCTGTTCCTGTGATCTCCAGTGTCTTCTTTTCTCTAGTAAATCCCACTCCTTCTTCAAGACTTGCTGAAATGCTGCCCCCTCTGTGAAACCTTCCCTGACATCCCAGTCAAAAGGAATCCCTTCCTTCTGTATTCATAACAATGATCATTCTGTAGTATTCATAATATATTGAAAAGGCATGTTTCCAGCAAGCTTCTCTTTACGTCCCCAGAGAGGAAAGTTTTCAACTGAGTTTTAATGTTCAGTCTTTTATCGAATATTTAGTATGAACACCATGCATTCCTACTGGGTCTCTCTCCCTTCCTCTCTCCGTCCCCCAGAGCTGGCACTAGGGCAGGCTGTCCAAACCTTCCGAGCCCTGGCCTCCTTGTCCGTCAGCTGTAGGTCCTCCCCTCCTTCATCTGGAGCTCCAGGGGAGTGAGGAACGTGGACATGTGTCAGAAAGTGAACTGAATAGGAGAAAGTGAGAGACTACGGGGGTGGGTATGTCCTTCTGGCAAGGTCACTGTGTCCTAGTTTTCTATTAAATGTTTGACCCTTCTTCCTCAGGCTATGTTCTCCACGAACCGCGGGACTGTCGGTGGCTTCTTCCTGGCAGGACGGAGCATGGTGTGGTGGCCGGTAAGTGTTCTCTGAAATACTGTTCGCTCCGCTGTGCTCTTCCCCGCAGGAGGCCGTGCCCCTCCTGGCCTGGGTGGTGGTCATCTTTCCTCCTGCCTAGACCCCTGGTAATGGGCCTCCTGCTCACCGGGTTTCCCAGTCCCCCTTCCTCTCTTGTGGTAAGGAAAACAGCCTTCAACTAAATCATGCATGGAATCCCTTCCGGGGATAAATGGAGGAAAAGACCACCTAAAGTGGGCACGTGGAGAAGCAAAAAGAACACGCAGACCGAGGTGATCTTGAGTAAATCTGAGCTTCGATATGTGTATCTATAAAATGGGGCTGCTAATATTTACCTTCCAGGAGTGTTACGGGGAGATTTTTTATGGCATGGAGACTCAGTGAGAAGTAGCTCTTTTGCTGCCTTCTCGCTACTGAAAGTCCCATGGAAGAGAGATTCTATCTGTCCTTCCTCGGGAGCCTAAAGCGGTGCCTGATGCCCAAGAGAACCACAGTGACTGCTTGTGGAGCCCCTGCTGTTCTCAGTTACAGTTTTCATCTCTTGGTGGGTTTTGTATTTAGTGTATTTGAGATGTCTTTTCCCAGATAATTGTACATGAGCAGAACTATCCCAATCAGAAGATGTGTGCATGGGTGGAAGAGAAACTGGGAGGTCTCTTCCATCCTATCAACGAGGGCTCCGGCTGGTTTATCAGTTCAGCCCAATGACCATTTCATTCCAGAGTTCTCAACCAAACTAATCTGGTTGACCAAATTAAACCAAGTGTGCAATTCCCTGAGCTTAAGATACAAGCAAGATTGGCAGGCAGAAGGGGGGAGTAACGAAGCATGCATACAGTGAGAGGAAAGTGACTGCTGTGAGTTGATTGGAGAAAGACTAACAAGAAGGTAAAGACTGTCACCGCCACGTACCAGCACTGAGAGAGGTCACGGGGAAGTCATGCCACATCGTGCGATTGCCTGCTGATTGGGTGTTCGGGGATGGATTTTAGTAACTGGAATCTTCGCAGTTGTTTGTTTTATTCCCAAAGTCATTTCTGCTTTATCCTAAAGGTGGTCAGGAATACTGGGCAGCTTCTGATTTCTGTGATGGGTCCCTCATGGTGGTCTCTCCTGACACATTCGATCTTCTCACGTTTTGGACTTTGACGTGTTCCTAAAAACTGGTGCTAAATGGGCAGCTTTGATCACAAAGTTCAAGACAAGCCTGAAGTCATCCCTTTGGAACTGCACTTTCCAGTATGGTAGCCACTCATAACATTGGCTATTTAAATTGAAATAAAAATTAGGGAAAATAAAAAATTTCTTTTCTCGGTCACATTAGCCATATTTCAAGTTCTTGATAGCTACATGTGGATGGTGGCTACCGTATTGAACAGTGAGATCTAGAACATTTCCATCATCATAGAAAGTCCTATTAGGTGGTATTACTTTATAGATTTCAGAGCCAAGCCTGGCATGAAATCTTAGTGGACTTGAGATTTGTCTGGATTGGAGAGCTATATAGGACCTTGAAGTTTACTTTAGTTATTTTGAAAACAGTGTACCCTCCACTCCAGCTGATACCTCCGTGCCCGCTGCAGTAAGCCTGCCAAGAGCTCCTCTGGCTTCACTTGGCATCCAGTCCCCCTTTCTCCTCCTCCTCCCCACTGTGACAGGAAACTCTTATCTCTTCATGTAATTTCTCAGGCTGATTATTGGGGGCACGACCTTACCTTCCAATCTCTGGGTCTTGGAGAAGTCAGTGTGAGAGCAGGGGCATGGGGTAGAACCATCCTTAGGGAATATTTATTTCGGGCCAGGCCTGGGAACACATCACATCTTAACCGGTCAGTAACGGTGCCTTTCTTCCTGATGGTGCCTGGGTCTGGGCTGAGTTGCTTGGTGAGGGGAATTAACGTCACCCAAAGCAGGTCATGTAGGGTTCAGTGGTTCATGGGGGGTTTTCTGTGCACATTGTTTTCCTTACTCAGTATTGGATTATTCTAACCAAAAGAGAAACATGGCATCATTCTTTTGTGCAGAAGCCACTGCTTCCTTGCTGAGGCTGAAATTTGACTCTTTTCCTCCAGCAATAGTTTCCATCATTGTACTTCATGCAAGTACATCATTGCCGTGTAAACCTGCCCACTTATCAGAATCACCTGGGTGTGCTTTCTAAAAATACAGATTCCTAGACTTTACTCCAGACCTAC